TGGAGGGAAGGGACACCCTCCACACAGCTCACAGGAACAGAGCTGAGGCTGTCAATCAGCTAAAGGTCCTTCCCTTGTCACCTCTTTTCTGTTGGTGTCAGGAAAACTTGTCAGAAGTGACTCATGCTGATAGCAGAGGAATGAAGCAGCAGACAGAAATAACATTTAGAACTCTTAATTGAGACAAGTACACACTATAGAGGGATATGCTTTGTTCATATTTAATGTCTGAGGTTTACAACCACTTTAATGTGTCAACATAAACATAAATGTACAATGTATCAAAGTCTATCCATTTGCTGTTATCTAAGTGCACTTTGTAAACATTAGTCCATTTCTTCCCTAACATAAAAAAAGATCTTTTTATTTTGAGGGCTGCTGCACCTGAAAGACTGGAAGTCCTTCAAGAAGGAGAAAAGGAAAGGTGGAGACTTAACTGGTTCTCCTATTTATGGTGGAGAAGAGGAGTGCATGCTGATATAAAAATTCTAAAAAGGCTCATTCAGATGCCTTATAGTCTTGAGGTCCACCAGAAGGTGAGTAGATTCCAAATTGGGCACTAAGTGGTGGTAGTAGATCTTTTTACATTGAGGAAGAAACTGACTAATGTTTACAAAGTGCACTTGGATGAAAGCAGATGGATAGACGTTGATACATTGTACATCTATGTTGATTTTGACACACTGAGGGTTATTTATTAAAACTGGAGAGTACAAAATCTGGTGCAGCTCTTCATAGAAACCAATCAGCTTCCAGGTTTTTTTGTCAAAGCTTGATTGAACAAGCTGAAGTTACAAGCTGATTGGCTACCATGCACAGCTACACCAGATTCTGAATGCATTGGTTTTAGTAAATCATCCCTGCTATGTTTTTGTGAACCCAATTTTTAACATGATTATTCAGGTAACGTTATTATGGTACTAGCACTGCACAATATTTTGGTAAAGATTCACATTTATCCCATAGTGCGGCTTTAAAGTGGTAAAAAAAAAAAACCTTTTATGTGCAGCAGTGCCCCCAGCCCCCTCAATACTTACCTGAGCAGCATCGCGATCCAGCGATGTGAATGACAGCCTTGGCTCCCAGCTCCTGCTGCTATCACAGCCAATCAGCCAATGAGGAGAGAGAGGGGGTGGAGCCAAGCAAAGCCGTGACTCCATGTGTGAATGGATACATGGAGCAGCGGGTGCCCCCATAGCATTTTTGTGGTGTGAACATTTTTCACACATTTTTGTGGTGGCCCTAAAAGAGGAGTTTGGGGGGAAAAAAAACAAGTATACCCACCTAGGAAGATACAGCATTGGTCCTCTACACTGAGAACGGACCGATCAGAGACAGCTGATCACTCAGTTCTCAGTCTCACTCGAGCACTGGGCTGTGCAGGTGTTGGGAGCAGCTGGCCGGGGCTCTCAGAGGCTCAGTAACAGGCTGAGCCAGCTTCTGCTCAGGGATCTGAATGGTTCCCAATATTAAACTGGGGTCTTTCTAGAGCCTAGACTGGCTTTGTGATGTCAGCTGACAGCAGACTTTAGCCCGATATCAGCTGAATCTGGGTCACAGAAGTGCAGAATGAAGTGCACAACTGTGTTCCATAAATGTAGGGCTGAAAGAGCTTTGACCACAGTTCTCCTTTTAAGTGGTTGTAAACTCTTACATATACCCAGTGAATGGTCTCAAGCGATACACAGAGATAAAACAAATCCTCCTACATAAGGTGTACCTGTTTATCTGCACTCTTCTCTACATCTGTTCAAAGTGCTGAGTTTATAAAGCGTGACTGAGAGTTCAGAAAACAGGGTGGGGAGCTGAAATCACACTCTGCAGAGCTCAGTGAGGAGAGGTCTGAGAACTGATTGGAGGGAAGGGACCCCCCCTTCACACAGCTCAAAGGAACAGATCCGAGGCTGTCACTGTGCTTGAGGTCGGTGGCGTCCCGAGGCATGTGCGGGGGGGGGTGCGTTCCACACCGGGTGACACCGACTGCATGGGGTGACACTGGACCTGCTCCACAAAAAGATAAGTTGTAAAGCAAGCTGACGATCCCTGCAGAATGGATCGGATCTGCGGATTGAGCATAATGGATTGGAGTCCGATCCCTTATGCTCAATCCGCAGATCCGATCCATTCTGCAGGGATCGTTGGAGGGGGTGTCACCAAGTGTTACCGCACCGGGTGACACCAACCCTAGGGACGCCCCTGCTTGAGGTCCCTCACCTGTCACCATTTTTTTCTCTTGGTGTCAGGAAAGCTTATCAGAAGTGATTAATGTTGATAGGAGAGGAACAAAGCAAAAGACAGAAATGACATGTAGTGCTCTTAATTGAGGTAAGTACACACTATAGAAGGATATGCTTTGTTCATATTTCACGTCTGAAGTTTACAACCAGTTTATTAATAAAGGGCATAAAGCGGTAAGCTTAAGACACATTATGGTGTTATTTTCTTCCATCTCTCAGAAGTGACTGTTGGTATCATGGTGTCATTAAGCTGTGCTGATGTCAGTGGCAGAGCAGGCCTGTCACCCACCTCCCCTTGTAGATGAGTCATGAAGGACCAGCAGTCAGTGGCCTCCCTTTGCACATCTCCCTTTACTAGACGCACTCCACTAATAGCTGCCTATTAATGAGATGGACGGTATTTGCACAATGGGCCGGGATGGCTAGAGTCAGCGCAGGAATGAGGAATAGTAAATAGCTATCTTCTAGCCTGTCTCTCCCATCACTGAACAAACAGCTTTATTTCCTCAATGACATCCTATCCTCCCTCAGAGACCCCTGACATTGTATGACTGAGAAGGCTTTGTAGATGGAGAGGAAGAGTTCATTCATCAATTCCTAGAACGTCTCACTGGATTCTATTGAGTGCAGGTAGCCGCAATCACACACACACACACATCTCTGCTCCCCCCTCCCCCAGCGCCTGCCATGGCATGTGTAGGTGCAGGCAGGCGGGCAGCAGGCGGCGCTCTCGTCACGCCGCACAAGTCCACATCCCCCCTCCGCCTCGGGGGGGACAGGCGGCCAAATCTCATTCTCATTCTCCTGGCTCAGATCCGTGTGACTCATCCCAATAGGGTGTCAAATAATCGTCCATAATTAATGAGCCATGTTCCCCCTTCCGGGATTAAAGAGATAAGCGGCGAACAGATGCAGCGATGAGTCGCACACCTCCTATCAGGGCCACTGACATCTGGATGCGATAACCCGGCGTTGCCCCCTCGTACATTGACAGCCCTCGACTCATTCAGGGAGATCCTGGCCCCGCCCCGCCCTCTGCTGGATTAGTCCGGCTTTGACGTCAGGGCAAAATAAAAAAAAGCATGTGCGTAGTCGGCATGTGATTGGACGAGAGGGGCTGTCACTCATCATCCCAAATGTTCCTGATCTCTCCGGAGCCCAGGTCTAGATGCTCATTGTAGTGTTGTTGTTGGCGATCAGCTGTCATAAGGCTGTGATCAGCACTAAGGGGGACCAACATTACTTTGTCACTGTCAGGAGACGTGGGTAGACTCAGTGACAGATCCTCCCCCCTGACCCATCGGGGGAGATCCCGTACTGACAGAGGGGGATGTGCCCGGGCACATAGCTATGCTAATGGAGGGGCGTGTCTGGGAGGATCGGAGACTCCCCATAGTCCATATATAAACTACTCTGGGAAAAAAAGCTAATCTACACTAGAAGGATCCAGAGGCGGCAGCAGAAGCAGCAGCAGCGGTGTGACAGCAGGTGATCGTTGTGTGCGTATCCACGGGATAGGGGTCAGGGAATAGCCGGCTGTATGGTCGGGAGAGGGGTCAGGGATATAGCCGCTGTAAGATCAGGAGAGGGGTCAGGGTATAGCCAGCTGTAAGATCAGGAGAGGGGTCAGGGTATAGCAAGCTGTAAGATCAGGAGAGGGGTCAGGGTATAGCCAGCTGTAAGATCAGGAGAGGGGTCAGGGTATAGCAAGCTGTAAGATCAGGAGAGGGGTCAGGGTATAGCAAGCTGTATGGTCAGGAGTAGGGGTCAGGGTATAGCCAAGCTGTAGGGTCAAGAGTAGGGTCGGTATAGCCAGCTGTATGGTCAGGAGTAGGGTCAGGGTATAGCCTTCTGTATGGTCAGGAGTTGGGTCGGTATAGCCAGCTGTATGGTCGGGAGTAGGGTCAGGGTATAGCCGGCTGTATGGTCAGGGAGTAGGGTCAGGGTATAGCCAGCTGTAGGGTCAGGGTATAGCCGGCTGTATGGTCTGGGAGTAGGGTCGGGAGTAGCCAGCTGTAGGGTCAGGGTATAGCCGGCTGTATGGTCGGGAGTAGGGTCAGGGTATAGCCGGCTGTATGGTCAGGAGTAGGGTCAGGGTATAGCCAGCTGTAGGGTCAGGGTATAGCCGGCTGTATGTCAGGAGTAGGGTCAGGGTATAGCCAGCTGTAGGGTCAGGAGTAGGGGTCAGGGTATAGCCGGCTGTATGTCAGGAGTAGGGTCAGGGTATAGCCGGCTGTAGGGGTCAGGGTATAGCCGGCTGTATGGTCAGGAGTAGGGTCAGGGTATAGCCAGCTGTAGGGTCAGGGCCAGCTGTAGGGTCAGGGTATAGCCGGCTGTATGGTCAGGAGTAGGGTCAGGGTATAGCCAGCTGTAGGGTCAGGGTATAGCCAGCTGTAGGGTCAGGGTATAGCCGGCTGTATGGTCAGGAGTAGGGTCAGGGTATAGCCAGCTGTAGGGTCAGGGTATAGCCGGCTGTATGGTCAGGAGTAGGGTCAGGGTATAGCCAGCTGTAGGGTCAGGGTATAGCCAGCTGTAGGGTCAGGGTATAGCCGGCTGTATGGTCAGGAGTAGGGTCAGGGTATAGCCGGCTGTCTGCGCACTTGTTATTTTCCTCCTAAGTAGCGGATTATGTAAAGCCTCTGTGATCGCCGGTGCTGATCGGCTTCTGTGTTTTTTGCAGGATCGGACGGAGACGAGCAGCCCTCCTCATCCTCTCCGTGTTGGTGGAAGTTGTCAGAGCCTGGAAGACGGCTCCATCTGACCATGGCAGACGAGGAGAATGTCGGCGCCGTCCATACGATGTGCTCTGGCTGCTGCGACAGCACTAATTGCAATGTCCTAAGTTGGGAGCAAGTCCAGAGGCTGGATGCCATCCTGACCGAGACCATCCCCATCCACGGTCGGGGCAACTTCCCCACCCTGGAGATGAAGCCCAGGCAGATCGTCAAGGTAGTGCGCTCCAGGCTGGAGGAGAAGGACATCAAGGTGCGGGATGTCAGGCTCAATGGCTCGGCTGCCAGTCACATCCTGCACGAGGACAGTGGATTGGGCTACAAGGACTTGGATCTCATCTTCTGCGCAGACCTGAAAGGAGAGACCGAGTTCCAGACTGTCAAGGATGTGGTCTTGGATTGCCTGTTGGATTTCCTACCAGAAGGAGTTAATAAGGAAAGGATAACCCCGCTCACCCTAAAGGTAAATACACGCTTTCAGTCCAGACAGATAGGCTCTCTATGAACACCGCCACTCTGTGAACAGTCACTTTCATTTAGATGTAGCCCCTAGACAGGGATGTGACCAGTCACCCCCCACCCCACACTTCCACCACCTCCTTCCCCACCATCACAAGTATAGGCGACTTCACCCTTACTACATAGATTCTTATGGCTCTGTGCAAAGTTAGGACACCAGCATTAGTGACTACTTGTCACCCTTTTCTCTCTCTCTCTCCTGATTGACAGCTTTATTTTTGTTTTTTCCATTCCAGGAAGCTTATGTTCAGAAAATGGTAAAAGTCTGCAATGACTCAGATCGATGGAGCCTGATCTCGTTATCCAATAACCATGGCAAAAATGTGGAACTCAAGTTTGTGGATTCCTTGAGGAGGCAGTTTGAATTCAGCGTAGATTCTTTTCAGATTAAGCTGGATTCCCTTTTGCTTTTTTACGAGTGCTCAGAGAACCCAATGACCGAAACGTTCCACCCTACCATTATTGGGGAGAGCGTGTATGGAGATTTTCAAGAAGCCTTTGATCACCTTTGTCACAAGATCATTGCCACCAGGAACCCTGAGGAGATCCGTGGAGGTGGCCTTCTCAAGTACTGCAACCTTTTGGTAAGAGGCTTCAGGGCAGCCTCTGAAACAGAAATGAAGTCTTTACAGAGGTACATGTGTTCTAGGTTTTTCATTGACTTCTCAGATATTGGAGAACAGCAAAGGAAGCTGGAGTCCTATTTGCAGAACCACTTTGTGGGCTTAGAAGACCGCAAGTATGATTATCTTATGACTCTACACGGTGTGGTCAATGAAAGCACAGTATGTCTCATGGGACACGAAAGAAGGCAGACTCTGAGCCTTATCACCATGCTAGCCATCCAAGTCTTGGCTGAACAAAACATTATTCCCAATGTGGCTAATGTAACGTGCTACTATCAGCCAGCCCCATATGTAGCAGATGCCAACTTTAGCAATTATTACATTGCCCAAGTACAACCTGTCTTTACATGCCAGCAACATACATACTCCACTTGGCTACCCTGTAATTAAGACTGACTGAACAATTCCTTAGAGGGAAATGTTCCCTAAGCATATAAAACAGGGGATTGCCCAATAATTAAAAGGGGGGTGCGAGTTTGAGAAATGATGATCTGCTCTAGGTTTCAGTCTTTGTGAAGCTTGTGGTTCATATAGAGAATTCATGAGAGCACGATCAAAATGATAAGCACCTAATTAATTGGGTTTCAACCCCAGAGCACAAAGCAGCCTGTCATTTAAAGTTAAGAGAGCCTTCTGCTGTATGCAATGAAGGAATGCTTGAGATAAGTACAGGTCGGCAGTTCCTGCTCACGTAACATTTGAATAGGAAGAGGTTGGCTAGTAAAATGGATTCTGCAAAAGGGAGTATAGACTGAACCTTTCCTTCTGAATTTCAATTATCTGTAGCAAAGTGTGAAGGAAAAAAACGCATTGGATATATTAGAATGACCATTTTGGTTTTACAGCGTTTGATCTTGAGTCGTTTTAGAATGTATAACCTGGCTGCTTGCATAGAATGCTTTTACCAGACATAACTTACTTCTAGTGAATTGCGGTAGGGTGGTACAGTTCTGAAGACTGTCATTCATGGAAAGATGCTAGATTATCTTTCCACATGTTTGCATCAATCACATTTTACAAATGTGACAATGCGTAGGAGAGTTAGTAGCAAATCTAATGCTTAAGGACCAAAGATTTCTTAAATATACCCAAAATGAAAGAGTTGGAGAAGAGATCCTATTTGTGTACCTGTTTATTTACTGTATCAAAGTGCCTGTTGCCTTCAGAAAATTAAGAGAACATATCTTTGTGATTGAACCGCACATTTTCTTTTTTCAGGGATTCTAGTAGAAAAGGAAAAAAAAAAAAACTTTAACCTAAATCTTGAACTTGTGATAAACAGTGCAGCGAATGCCATATTTTCCCTGGCAAACAGTTGTATAGACTTCATTATTTGTGAAAGGTTTGCATATTCACACAGCGTGCGTGTGTTTCCAAATGCACAAAGGTGTACTGAAATATGGTTTAGAGAAATGTAGCACTTAGAAAATGTTTCTGTAAAGAACTGTGTGTTCAACAGTCTGACACAGGATTTACCATTGCAGAGCCTTGCAAACCAGGTTTAAGCTTGTCCCTGGAAACTCTGTGAAATCAACACTTCTGGGGGATATTTTTAATCTTCCTCTTTTTTAAGAACAAAGATTGGTCTGTGGAATAGAAATATTAATTAGGTTTTTAAAATTGCAGTACATCCCAGCAGCTCAAACTGTGTGTCTATATAATATAATATTCTATATATAGACATATACACATACATGTTTTAAATTTAAAAATGAATTAAGAACATTGATGTTGTAACCTCATCAAGTGAGCAAACAACTCAAACTTTGGAAAAGCAAAAATATCCTTTCAAATCCTTTTGCACCAAATTCCAAGTGGAGCTCCATATGCTTGGTTTGTTTTAATGAATACATTGATGCATCGTAGGACCACTAGAGGTGTTTAATGTGAAATGAAGCTGAATTGCACGTTACTTTAGTTCAGTATTTTTTTATTTTTTTAATTATACCAAATATTTTCAACTGAGATGTTTAATTCTGCATTTGCTTTAGTACTGTAACCTTATTTAAAAAATGAAATTGCAATCCAACATATTTGTATGTTCTTTTTTTTTTTTATCCTCCAAAACCAAAATTTGTCTGCTACCCTTTTATGCTAGATGCTCAGTTTTTATCATGGGGTAGATTGAATCTTGTATAATATATGCTTCTTTTGCTGACCCTAGACAAAAGGAGGAATTGTTTGTAATATTTTCTTCAATTTTCTATAGCAATACTACATTGATCGGGCTGTGACAGAGGTGGAGAGTTAAAGTTTATGACAAATTGTGTATTGTGCTCATCCCAGAGTGGTGAGGCAACACCCCTTTGTTTACTCCTGTTTGATTAATTATCTGCAAAAAACCTTGCCCTGTGAGTTGCTTTGCACAGTCTGCTGCATCCATCTGATGTGTAGGGACTTGGCTGAAAGATTCAGTATCTGGATTAATTTATTGTTTCACAGCTCCTAGAGCTTACATTTAAAATTAGAAATGTGCTGACACATTTGTGCTAGGCCTTTAGAAGACTGTAAATCACTGTTGCAATGTAGCTTAAAATACATTGCTAGTAGACCTAATTACAGTGTTTCTAATTGCCTTTGTAGATATACACAACTGAGGTGACCTGATTTTTTTTTTTTCTTTAACCTCTGCAACATTTAATGAAACGTTATGTATGACCATATAAAACTTTGTAAATGTAATATATACTTGACCTTGATAGCGATATAATCATTCGTAATATTCTAGTGCCAAATAGAGTGTTGATTTCAGTAATGGGAATCGAGTTATATGAATAAAATGTATTGATTGGTTTAATCAGCATGCAGAAAGAATTCTGTCTGTTTAATCCTAGCACCAGAGGCCCTAGAATAAAACTGACAGCTCTGGCAGTCTAGTGGTTAAGCTTGACTCTGGCCCCCAAGGCTTCTTTGAGGCTATAGGTTACGATTGTCCAGTAACTTCTGGAAATTGCCAGATTTAGTGTCTGTCTACCCTTTTTTTTTTTTTTTTTTTTTTTTTTTTGGTCTTCTATACAGTCTTAAAAGACCATTTTTAGCAGGAATCTGATTTGTTTACTGTAGCACCATTCCTGTGAATTTAGCAGGATCTGCTAAAGCTATTGCACTGCCACTGTCTGTTTACACGGAAAATTCTGGCCTTTTCTGTGACTGCTTCTGTCTGTTTTATGTTTGGTCAATGGAGAGCCTTCCTTGATTAATAGTGAAGAGAAAGGCTTGATTCCCATGCCTCATTCCTTCAGACAGTAAATCAAAATTGAGATGTGCATGTCTAAATCAGAACAGTATCCAAAGTTATATTCACATGGCTTTTGAGCTGAATTGAAGGGGATGGCTGGGGGAAATAGGATCAGCTGGTGATGGGGTAGGGCTATTCTTACCACAACTGTCTGCATTGCACAAATATTTCATCTCGGGTGAAGATATTTAAACATATAGTTTGAGCATCTCCACCACTTTCTGATGAGGGGATATGACTTCTCAAATCTAATGCTTACACAAAGCTGAATTTTATTCTTTAGGCACATCTTAACATTTCATTTTGCTTGGACAATTTGTAACTTTTTAAAATCCTTTCTGTTTTACAATTGGCTACAGATGATTTTCATACCTCTTAATCACAACAAATACAGGGCTTGTTCTCTTTCTAGCCTAGTATGATCTCGGATCTCATTTTATTCACGCTGATAACCAAATCCATTTTTTTTAATACAGTATTGTGTACAGGCATTTCTTGCAGCAATCAGTGGGAATGAAATGTCTCCCATCCAATTTGTTGGAACTGAGAATTTGCAAGAGAGACAAAGCCCCCTTTGAAATACATGCCTCCTTAAACACCAGCCATTGGACAGTTTGTATGGCGGATGGATTTATTGCTAATCTATGTTGAGATAAACCTGCTAATACAAATGTGATGAAACATCAGATCTCTTTCAAGCCAAACCATTGTATGTTGTTGCACACAAAGTGCACGGGTGTTGTGTCTATGGGGGGGAGGGGGGGATGTGTGTCAAAATTTGTACTTTCTTAATATTATTTTGCTTTACAACACTGATGCTTTTACATTACATACCTATATTTTATTCAGAGTTTTAAATGATGTAAATGCTTTGTACATGACTTGTATTATATTGTTGGTTGATGACTTTGCCAATTAAAAAAAAAAATCTATTGAGATAAAACCAAAACAAAAAAAACTATTTTGTTTGAATATTTCATTGTAGATCTCATGTCTTAGATAATATTGCAAAATCTGAAAAAAAATATATATATTTTGCATATCTTACAGCAAAAGTGTGGTTTTATTTTCAACTAGGGGGTGCACAGTTGTAAACTGAAGTTAGGCAAACGCGTGCTGGAAAAATAAACAGCTCGACTAGACTATTGCAAAAGTTGCAGCTTTCAGAAGACTGTGCATATTTTACTCTCCTTCCTTCCACTGTAATATGAATACTGCCTCTTCAGAGTTACATAAACTAAGTAAAGGACAAGCAGACCAAATGAAAGCATGCAGGCTGTTGGTATATGTACTTTAGGAGAAAAGAATTGTGAATTTTGTTTACAACATCCAATATTTGGATTTGTTTTGTAAATAAAAAGTTATTTTTTTCTATTGATTCGGTGTATTATGTCTTTAGTTAAATACAGAATGGATATGGAATAACGCAAGTGTCATACAAAATCATGGAAAGTCACTAATTCTGAGAATAGTCGAGTTCATCAGCTTCCTGGTGGGAGCTCAAAAATTTTAATCCTGTCTTTTTTTTTTTTTTTTTTTTTTGTCAGCCAAAATATGTGCAGTCAACTAGGAAAGGGCCTAGCTGAAACATGCCAAAAATACTTGGCTCTGTTTCCACTTAGCAACATAGATAACCTAAAAACAACATTTCTGTTTTTACACTTAAAGGCAACCATTTAACATTCACAGTAATTGTATTAAAACTCTATGTATATCAGACTCAACAAATATTAAACTGACATTTATATTATAATTAGTAAGAAGATTAATCAAACATTCTTTTGCTCATTTATTCCTTGTCATATAGGTGGGCTTTAAAAAATATTGAAAATTAGACCATTTGGTTCTATTTTACTCATTTATTTCTTGTCATATAAAGGTGCACTTTACAAAAGTAATGCCAATGAGCTACAGTATTTAGATTGTGAGTTTAGTATGTTATGTAGGTATCACTTCTGTGCCCACATTTTCCAGTTAAAGTTCTGTGCAGTTCACCTTTAGATATTGCTTCCTCCAGCACTCTCTGCTTTTTCATATGTTTCTTAAATATTTATTAGGAGTGGTGCAAAATACTGGGACCAGGAAGTGGTGGGGGTCCTTTGATATTATATTTAATTAATAAAAAAAATGCATCCTTTTTTTTTTTTTTTTT